TGGTAAAAACTCTTTGTGTCAATACAGTCAAATAAAACTACTGTAAACCATTTTCCATCCCTCATAACGAATTGGATGACTTGATTAGTGTGAATGACAAAAGCACATTCTGATCTTGCTGGACAGATTTGTAGGTGGCCAGAGAGATGTTCCCTGATAGCTCTGGCCTTTGGAACTATGCCCATCAGAATACAGGTGATGAAAAGGGGAATAAATGTGTCTCCCCCTCCAGTGCACACACTGAATCCACAGAGAGAGGAGAAAACAGGGCATGCCTCCTGATTCCATATAACCACCGTCTATCAATATGGGGTTGTAGAGGATGGCTGCAGACTGCCAGAAGATGATCACCGAAAAGATTAGGTGATGCTATCCAATTTGGCCTATTTGCCACCCTCTAGTCAATAAAAACATGCCATCCAGTCAATTCTGACTTATGGTGACCCTTTTCAGAGTTTTCCATGTAAAGAGTACTCAGAAGTAGTTTACCATTCCCTTCTTTGGGCATCCTCAACTGTACAAGCTGGCTCAACTTGTAAGAGGCACAGTGGTGAATCAGACTCCCAAGCTTTGACTCAACAGCCAGATATCTAACCCAGAGAGCTATCCAACCTCCCCCTTCTAGTTATCTGTTTTCCTTCCAGACTTGTTAATATAGGGCCTTCCTAGTAGATGCATGATCACTCAACAAGGACCCACCAGCTTCAAACATATGTTTTAATCTGAAACAATGGGGGTTCTACATTCTTGTCTGTTTGTTCTTCTCAGCCAGAAGAGTGGCTACTTTTTGCTGCAGTATGAATTGTCACCAGCAGCAGATCATCTGTGAGAGCTCTGTTAGTACATCAGCTTTAGGTTTTAGTCTGGTTTTGCTTTTCTCTTTCTCTCTCCCCCCCCCCTTTTAAATTTGGTCCCTTCTTTCTGCAATCCTTTGTAACACCATTTAATGAGCACCAAAGTCTGCACACACTTTTGTGGCCTAAAAAGGGATAATGCTCATATGGAATGTGCAAAAGACAGCATAAATCAAGTGTGCTCTCTCTCAATATCTTAAACTTAAATTCCAGAACATTCTTCTTAGACTTTCCATTAATGTGGGAACAGGGTCATACAACAGTACAGATATAAATTGTAATAAAGTTATATACATTTCCAAAGCCTGGAAGTAAAGAGTTCCAAGTAATTTGGTAATTTTCAATATGGAGGTTTTACCTTCCAAAGTAGTGATGTAAATTGGGAGGAGGGGAGGATTGTGGCGAATTTAAGAATAACAAACTTATTTCAGTGTGAGCTTTTGTGGTTTATAATCTATTTGAGACACAACAATCTTTTTCTGAAGAAGCAGGTTGTAATCCGTAAAAACTCACCCTGAAATAAAAGCTATATTTTTGTTTTTGCCTTGGCTTTGTTGGTATCTCTCCAAAGTATGAAAACAAAGACATTTTTGTTGGTATGACAAGTAGTATTTCTGGGTGTTGTTGTTTTAATTTTATTGTTCGAGTTACTTTTAAAACACATTTCACTAACTTTAGAGAACATTTGAACAACATATTTTTCATTCTCTTATAAATTGATAAGGTCTGTATTTTTTTTAAAAAATGAATGCGAAGTCATGAACAAGGCAACACTGCAACACAATAAACTGATTTTGTTATGAATTATGCTAGCATTACTTTTTGCAAGGTCTATGCAGCTGAGCCACACCACAGCCAGAATAATAAGGAAGCTACTTTCAGCCGTTATTCTAGTCCAAGGGTCGCTTGCATTAGGCCTCCTCTGATTTAGGTATCTTTGTAATCTGAAGCACCCCTATCATGTTAACTGTACTGAAACTTTTAGCTGTGTTTAAAGGGACATTGCCTCACTGCTGACCAAGCTAAATTAAATGTTCTCATCCCACTCCCACAAATACATTTGAAATTAAAAGGTGCAATGTGGCAGGTCAGGAAATAAGCTTTCCACTAGATCTGATCCTCAGTTACTGCCATTTGCAATATTTAAAAGAGCAAAGCTCCAGTTCTACTCAGACTTTTCAGAGCTGACTCTGAGTTATCACCTCCCATATTGGCAGCATTTTCCACCGCAGTTGCCCTCTTGGCTTATATGTTCAAACGGTGTCAGATTAAGCACAGTGAATTTATAAACTGCATGTTAAATCAGTGAAGCTGACCCTGAACTCTGGCAAAGGAGAAATGGTTGGAACAGGGAAATTAAATAGGGTATGGTTTCCAACTTTTTTTGCTTTTCTCTTTCCTTAATATCAAGAAGCATGGAGGCCTTGGACTTTCTGCTAAGTAGGCTGGGAAAGAAGCTGCAGACAGCAAAACTGATGAATAAGAATTGATACATATTTTATGTTGGTCGGGAATAACATGACATTATGTGACCTGTGACTTTTTCCAGGCATCTGAAGGCAATGTTTTATGCATTCTCTGAGAAACTGCACATGCACAGTTTAAACAGGAAGAATTCAAAATCTGTATGAAAAGCCAATATAAAAATTTGGATTTTCAGCTGTTGCAGCTAGAAAAAATAAAAACTTAAAAAACTGTAATGCATCTAACAATTTGCTCTTTTATAAAATAATAACTTGCTTTTGTATAGTTTCTACTCTATTTTTTTTTTTAAAAAAAACCCATTCTTTCTTTTATTAACCACATCCTAAGCCATTACCTTGGGACTCATGTACTGCAGGATAATTCTAAAATTCATAAACAAGCAACAAACCTAATCATTACATTAATGTTACAAAATTATTACAAAATACTACATGATGCAAAATAATAGTACATTTGTAGCTGAATATTCCAAAATTGGTTGCAATTTAATATGAAAATTACAACCAATTTCGATCTTACTACATTTGAGTTTTCATACAACTGCAATATGAAAGTACTTAGTTAAAAAGGACTGAGGTTGGGATAAAGTCAGGGCATTATACTTTCCTAGTAGTTTAGATGGAAATCCTATACTGACTTACTTGAATGAACTCACTAGAATTTATTTTTGATTTAAAAAACATCTCATTCTTCAGGCAAGCTTTTAAGCAGTAAATTGTCTCAGTAATGTTGGTTTTTAATTTACGGATTTGTAAATGTTTTAAAATTGTTTTTAAAATTGATCTTTAAAATCTTAATGTATGTTTAATTGATTTCTAAATATGATAGTGTTTGAAAATCTGATGGGAGCAGGCTTGGGTTCCCTGTGGGGAAAAAGGAGGCAAATAAATAAATAAGCAAGCAAGCAAGCAAGCAAGCAAGCAAGCAAGCAAGCAAGCAAGCAAGCAAGCAAACAAACAAACAAACAAACAAACAAATAAATAAATATTGCCTTGCATTGTTAATAGTATAGAATTTAATTATTAAAATCAACATGACAAAAGAGAGTTCAGATCACTGCACCTAGGGGGCAACCATAGTCACATTTTTTTCATTGATCAGATTTTGTCTTTCTACCAGGATTCTGTCTACTTTTTCAAATTCCAGATTCTTTCCAAGTAATTCTAGCATGTAATCTCTTGAAGCTATGCAGAAAGGAAGGACAAGGTATGCATGTGTACACACTGAAAGAACCTTTCTACCTTTCCTATCCTTCTTGGCTCTTATTATTGTACCCACCCGCACATGCACACACACGCACGCACGCACATGTGCACGCATGCGCGCACACACACACACAATGCCAGCACATACTTTTCCCAGCAAAGCCTCTCTCTCAATACATTTCTTTTTCTTTCTTTCTAAGCTTCTCCTTCTGGGCCACACTCCTATTTTATTTATTTTATTCTTTTTAAAAAAATCAGTTTAATAATGCAGAACCCTATGTTGAAAGCTAACAACAGAGAGGAGAATGCCTATATTCATGCAGTTCTTTCAACACCACCATCCACAGCTCTTAAGTAGAACTGCAAGCAGTTCGATTTAAGTGTGGCCACTTAAACCAGATAGATCCAAATTTCCTGGTGCAACTTCACAGTGAATGAATGTGCATTTCCCTTGCTGTGTAGTTGCACTCTTAGTCTATAAACTACCAAACTATACTAGCTGACAAAAATACTTGCACCATATTGTTTGGATCTCACTGGTCTGGCATGTGAACCTAAGCAGTTGGATATGAATTCAGTTCAAAAGAAATAGGTATTCTACAACCACAGTACCATTTAACTGATTTAATTTAACTGCTTTGCCAACTGGACTTGGGATTTTCATGGAAAGGTTACCAGTGGTAATGAATCTGGCTTGATCCAGTAACTTTTGGCAGGTAAGATTGAGTTTCTCAATTGCCTGATGAGCCTTTCCCATACAAGAGTCGGTGCAGGATAGTTTCTAGCAGAACATTCTTTTGCATAGACTCCCACTTCCAAGGAAGTGCATTTAGATTAGCTCTTTAGGACTTTTTGAAGTAATTTTCTGATACAGAACTCTTCTTCAGTTGTGGAATAATGAAACAGAGCAATATACTTTTGTAAGGGTGGGGACAGTTCTAACTTGAAAAAAAAAGTTGGAGCTATAACTGAATAGTCATTAAGATCTGAAATGGGTTTGAGAAGGTTCTGACTGCATCAGGCAGAAATAAATGTGAATAACAATCCAGTCTTTGGGACATATTACTTTCTACCAATAAATCTCTATAACAAAATTTCAGTCACTCTCTAGTTAATGTAACACTTATGGACAGCTATGACATTTTTGAACTGCCTGCCCAGCAGGTTGCCTGTAGAAATGTTATTATTATTTGCATAAGACCAGTTTTGTTTTCGTATCTTCAACATGTTTTTTTTTCCAATGTCACTATCTAGACTAGAAGCAGAGCAGCCTGACAAAATATCACTGTCACAGTTTTCTGACCACTTATGCAAATAAGTAGGATGCCTCTCCCAGACAGGCTACAATCTATGGCATTTTGACTACATTTTAAATATTATTAAACACACACACACACACACAAACATTTTAAATGTCAGTGCCCAGGATAAATAAACAGACACAAGGCTGACTGACCTTGCTGCTGCAGCCAGACTCGTCCTGCTGCCAGCCCAGGAGCAAATAAGTCTGAAGCGAACAGGTCATTTGCACTGTGCCAAAATTGCAGGTCATATGAGGAGCAAAATGAGAGGGGGGGTGGGGGAAGAGAGGAAAGAAATAGTTCTTCCACTGGCCAATCTCATTCCACCCAGGTCTCTTCAAAGCATTCTGGTCACACAAGCATGTCCTTGAGGGCATGAAGAGGATGTCCTAGTGAGGCACCTTGTGACTGTGCTCTTAAATAGACATTTATTGCTGGCCTAAGGCATTTTTTAAACTTGAAGCAAGGAAAAGAAAGCATACAGAGGCAATAGGATTCTGGCCATCCCTTTTTAAAACCATAGATGTCCCAGCATTGATCTGAACATGGGGTCATGCAGCCTCATCCTTGTGAAGTCATACACTTTCCCCCTTGCCTTTAGAAAGAAAGAGTACCACCCTCTTTCTAGCCTTGTGTCCATGCTGTATTCTCTGCAAGCCCTGCAGAATTCTCATCCCCATGGCAATGTGGAAGTAGCATACAGCAATTAGTGTGGTTTCTGGAAATTCATGCAAGCCATTCTCAATTAGACCCAGCCTCCTTTTCTTCTCAGGGTTTTGTCTATGGTTGACAATTACCCCTGGGATGCCTGCTTTATCAATCAACTGCCCAAATTAATGCAAAAGCATCCTGCTTATATACTGCCCCATAGTGCTTCAAACACTCTCTGGGCAGTTTACAAATTAATTATGCAGGCTACACATTGCCGCCGCCCCCAGCAAGCTGGGTACTCATTTTACCGACCTCGGAAGGATAGAAGGCTGAGTCAACCTGGAGCCGGCTACCTGGGATTGAACCCCAGGTCGCGAGCACAGTTTTGGCTGCAGTACAGCAGTTTAACCACTGCGCCACGAGGCTCATTAAGCCAATATTCACCTTCCAATCATAACAGGCTAAATGTAAAATCATGTGTTGAAACAGAGGGTGAAATAAGATAGGGAAATAGATCACCTTTTGGACCTTTGTGCCACTATCCAGTGTGAGCTATTTTCTGGTGATCACACAATGTACGGGAGATCATGCACCAGCTTGACCTTTATCTATGCCCAAGCTGGGGCATTTGGTGCACTAGCAGGGCTATTCTTTTTGGGGGTTAGGTTGGAGCCATTCCTGCATGGACCGAAGGGTCAGTTTAAGGGAAATCACTCCTAACAAAGCAAATCTTTCCAGTGCCATCTCATTGTCTGATTGCACCCAGACTTCTCTTGCTACTTAAGGGTTCACCTGTGCAAACATTTTGCTAAATATATCATCTAGTTTGATGCATACATCTCTGCACCTCTACAATTGACTCCCTAAGCATGGAATGTTGTGTTCTGCATCTGTGGTGACATTTGAAGTCAATGAGGACACTGTTTTCTCTTTAAGATGATACAGGGCTGTTCCAGGTGAAGCATTTGTCTTGCCCCCCCCCCAACACACACACCTTCTGTTGCTAGGTACTAAAATAGTGCAAGGTATACTAAGAAGTTCCACCAAGCTTTTCTTTAGAAATCCATTGCTTCTCAAGGAAACCACTTCTCTTTGAGAAATCTTGGAATATTCAATAAAATCTTAAGAAATTAAGTTTTTCCCTGTAGAGTACTAACTGAAAGCTGTCAACTGGTGCAAAATAAATGAACTGAAACAAGAAGTTCTAATTTAAAGTCTTCAAAGCTTTAGAAAGTGAAGTGATACCTGTTGCATTTGGAAAAAAATAGCAGATGGTATACTAATACAGTGGTTCTTAACCTTGGGTTACCCAGGAGTTAAGAACCAGTGCTGTAGAGTACTAACTGAAAGCTGTCAATTGGTACAAAATAAATGAACTGAAACAAGAAGTTCTAATTTAAAGTCTGCAAAGCTTTAGAAAGCGAAGTGATACCTGTTGCATTTGGAAAAAATAGCAGATGGTATACTAATAGACCCATTTCAAGCTATAGAGGACAAATCTATCCAAACAAAAATATGCCAGTAAATATGGAAAATAAAGTGATAACATTCCACATACATTCTAGTCCCAAAGAAAGAAGATGCCAAAGACTGCAGTCAATAAAGGAACATTTCAATAATTTCCCACACATGCAAAGTGCAATACAAGCAAAAATGTACAACACAATCTTCAGTCCCAAAGAAAGAAGATGCCAAAGACTGTAGTCAATAAAGGAACATTTCAATAATTTCTCACACATGCAAAGTGCAATACAAGCAAAAGTTTACAACACAATCTTTACCAGATTGAGGAATACCAAATATTCTAGCTGGATTCACAATAGGAAGAGAAAATGAACATTATGCAACATATCTATATTGACTATTGAAGCTTACCAAACAATCTCAGAAGAAAATCATTTTGTACTTTGCAGTACTAATAATTGCATGCCATGTAATTGATTCTGACCTATGGCAACCCTTGCCAGGATTTTCTAGGTATAAAATACGGAAAAGTAGTTTTCCATTCCCTTGCTCAGGGGCTGTGCAATTTCCCCATGGCCACAAAGCTTTGACTAAGTATTTTAAGATAGGTAGGTAGGTATGTAGGTATGTAGGTATGTAGGTAGGTATGTAGGTATGTAGGTATGTAGGTATGTAGGTATGTAGGTATGTAGGTAGGTATGTAGGTAGGTAGGTAGGTAGGTAGGTAGGTAGGTAGGTAGGTAGGTTGGTTGGTTGGTTGGTTGGTTGGTTGGTTGGTTGGTTGGTTGGTTGGTTGATTGATTGATTGATTGATTTTCAGGCATGAGGCCTTAGTGTTAGAACTAGTCTCAGGAGAGAGACTGCAGGCTGAATGAAACAGATGTTGCTATTTAGGATTCTGAGACAAAGAAGCCATGGCTCTCTTTCTAATCTCTTAAAGATGGGGCAAGAGGGATTGGACAGGAAATACAATGACTCAGCCTATCTTGATCTTTGGTCATGAGTTATTTTTCCTACCTATCATGTTTTTCTTTTTCTGGCAATTACCCCAGTGGCAAATTTGGTGGGGAAGAAGATAGCTGCAGGAATTTTTCCAGGGAGAGTATGCTTAATTTCTCATCATGTCCAATATGATAGAGTGAGACTGTGTATATTGAAATAATACATGCAGGATGTGGGGACACGAAGCATCCCTGCCTGCTCTTTCCTGTGGTCTAAAGGCTTTGAAAAGACATGGTCAATAATTGACAGCAAAGACTACACAGTAACAGCGTTGACTTACATTTTAATGAAGGGTGTAAAATAAATAAGATAAACATAGGTAAAAGCACCTTCTGCAGCAATTAGACATCACAGTGAACAAAGCCCCATTCCAGGTACAAAGCTGTTATTACAAAATGAAATACAGTACAAGAAAACTACGTTATAAATAATCAATCAATGTACTTCACAAATAATGCCCATCAAAGGAGTCTTAGGTTGTATAGATATGTGTGAGTCTGGTGAAATGTGGGTGGCTGTGGAACAGAAGGGAAAAAATAGAGACAGGTAAAACTGGATACTGCCTTTGAGTTGAGTATATTTTTGAAATAATGGAAGTATGGCATTTTAAAAAATACTACGTATACTAAGAATATACAGTGAATCAGCAGTTTGGCCCAAATAACTCATGCTTCTCTTTAGCATGCATCAGGATGCAGTCCACTTTTCTTGTTCAATATTAATAAAAAGAACAAGCAGTTTGAATTAAAATAATTAAACATCTATAAATTACATTTTTCTGTATTCACACCTACTGCATTCCTTAACCAGCAATACCTAAACATGCCACAGGAAGTTTCTATTTCTAAATCTCTCCTCACCCCCAGTAATTATTATTACTGATCATTAGGCAATAATTTCCTTGCTGGCTAATCGTGCATTTATTTATTTATTTCAGCAAAGATCCTTAAATAGAAATGATTAAAAATTACTACATTACAGATAATTTACAAATGCTAGCATTTACAGTTAGACAATAACTGAATTTATTGTTCAGCTTTTGTCTGGGCAATATAATTAAAGTGCAGAGAAAGACAAAACGAACAAACAAACAAACCACACACAAGCAAACAGAAGCTAGGCAGGTTTGTTTTTCATGGTTAAGAACAAATTTAGCAGCTTAGTGAGACTGGCAAGAAATATCAGCTAAAATATGCCTAAATGGCAATATTTTTTTAGCAGTTATTTTCCTGAGAGGATTTAAAGGTAAATAACGGTATTTAGCCCTGTTTTCTCAACTGGCTGATAATTATTGGAAAAGTAAGGACACTTTTCCATGTCTAGTTATTTAACAGTGCTAATATTTGCATTATGTCTCACTTTTCTGTGCAATGGCAGGGAAAGAGTGGTTTTCTTCAAAGGATCGCAGGAAGTGTCATGCTTTAACATATTTATATAACCACCCTGGGATCAAACAGGAAAAAAAAGCTATCACTGATTATTACAAGCCAACTGTTGTCCCACTGATTTCAGCAGTAATATTCTTGTACATTCAATCCACTGAATTCAGTAGAATTTAAACCTTCTTATCTTTAGTACATATTCCTGCTTCAAAAGGAATCAGTACAGAAGGGGGGAATCGTGCACCCCCTTTGTAATTTTTTTAAAAGAGACAAAAGTATGGTTATGTTTATCCACTGAATTGACAAACTGCTGCTTTTTGAACATTATCCTTCATTTGAAGAGAAATATATCTATCCTTCCTGCCATTACATCAGTGTAAATGCAAAATAATTAGTAATTCTCACAAGATCATAGCTGCAATTCAAGACTCCACAGAGTTCCAGAATGACCATGCACACACACACCCCACAAGTAGGTGCTTCCCATTTACAATCTGTTGGAAAATGCACACTCATTCCAAGAAAACAGGGCAGTCCCAGCTCATGTGCACATCACAACTGCATACAGTCAAGCAGTTAGGTCAGAGATATAAGCTGATGCAGACATTACATTTACAGTGACACTGGAGTAATTTCCATTTAAAGATATACATGGAGAGAAAAAGACAAATGTGATACAGTTTGTGTGATGCTCAATGGTACTGAATGCACACCACAGTGCAATGGGTAGTGGTCCTCCCTCCCAATAATTGTGCAGTAATGTGATTTGTCTGCTAAATTGACAACATCTATATCTTCAAAGTCACCTCTAAAGAGCTTGGAAACCTAAATAGCTTATCCCTACTATGACTGACCCAATCCTGGGTTATCACTAGACTTTTGATGCCTATGTGGTGGGTCCGGATGTTATGGTGTTGCCCACTTGCTGCAGGGAAGAGGAATGTTCAGTTCTTGTACTGAGATACATTCTTGCAGCAGCATTCGAAAGAGATTGGAGGAAAAACACTCATCATATGGAAAACTCTGGAGCAGACATTATACTCTCTGTATTAGGGTAGATACTTTTAACAAAATATATAGGAATAATGCACGTGCTGTGAAAACAAAGCATAAAATATGAAAGTCATCGATTATAGAATCATCTTTGTCTATGGAACTTAAGTTTCAAATGTTCCAAGAAGTCCAATCGCAGCTTGTATATGTGCTAACCATGTAAGACAGTTTATTAATTTGCACTCTAGAAAACCTTGTCACACTTCTAGAGAAGGGAAGATCTACTTACACTATTATCCTAACTTCCAATGCATCACATGACTATTTCCCAGCCTTCTGTCAATGTTAGAAACTGGAGATATGTCAAATTTAAATTACAAAGGAAATGTTTTCAATAAAATGTTTCAGGAAACAAAGCAATTGATTGGATATTGTTAAATATATTTTGTTTTCCTTAAAGATGGATATTATTCTTAAATGGAAATTGTTTAAATTGGACATCAACAAATGCAAAATGCATTTAAAAAATAGATGCTTGCATGCTCATTGTGGAACATGTGTTTTGTTCCCATAACAGTAGGTAAAACTTCTCTATCCTGGCATTTCCTCATTCATTGGAATCTAGAGTGTGGCATCTCAAGTTCATTTTATTCTTTTATTACCAGGCTCAATATAGTTATGACCACAATTTCCTCACTTCCTTATTAGTTCCCAGTTTCTTTTCCATCAACTATTACCTTTACAGAGCAACAACCATTGAATCCATGTTTCTGGCAGTTTGTTTTTCACCTCTAGCTGCTGCCTCTCTGTGCTTGAAAAGGAATCTTTGTGAAGCCCTGTGTCCCACAACGGGAAAAGTACCTTGAATTCTTCTCAATGTTTCCCCTTTGCATTATGTAGGGACATGCCATGCATAATTACACTAAAGTTCTCTGTACGTTCAAGAACAAAACTTCTCAGGCAGGCAGTCTGGGTTCAATTTTTAGGGATAGTTCATACAAAGTATCTTCGTCTATGATAAGTCTCTTGTCAAGTAAGTACTGAGTGACCTGAAAAAACAACAGGAAACAGTTGCTTTGTAATATTGGAAGTACCATCTGAGCAGAACTTCATATTTCAAATTTATTTATTAGTAATCGAGCAGGCAGAAGGGTCCTTATTTTGGAAATACATAGGTATGCTTTATGAATGCAGACATGTGAAAATAAAATTTCAGAAGATAATATATACTCCTATTTTGGAAGCACATACAGACACAGTAGTCCATAGCTCATGCATCTTTTCTGAAATTGGATACATGCCAAAGATGAGTCACAGTATCATAATAAATACACATAGTCCTACATCTAGCAATTTGGAGGTAAAACAGGAACATACAAATACTTAAAATGCTGGTTTAAAGGAAAGATGAAAGTATCGTACCTTTGGCTGATGTTCTATACGATAGGAAGTCTGTTGGAATTGGCGTATCTCCCTGATAATATGTGATATCTATTAAAGAAACAGATATAAAAAGTTTCTTGTTTAATTTTATATGTTGGCTGAGCTCAAAACATTCCTTCCATAAGTGAAACACTGTTTACAGAAGAGGGCCTTTCTGCCTCCTTTTCACAGTAGCTTCTTCTCTCAGAAATTGGGAGACCCTTGAGCATGGTTTGATACACATTTTGAAGGTCTTTAGATGGACACAAAACTGGCAAGCAGTTCTCCACACACACACAGCTGAATGGAGGAAAAGCTTAAAATTCAAAGTATAACTCAACTACAACTCAACAAGCAGTAGACTTATTCCACAACAAAGGCAATTTCAGGACCTAAGTATAAATCAATATTCAGAAGAAGAAGAAGAAGAAGAAGAAGAAGAAGAAGAAGAAGTAGTAGTAGTAGTAGTAGTAGTAGTAGTAGTAGTTTAGACTTGGTGAGTGCCTTCCTTCACAGTTATTCACCACTATTTTTATATATATATATCTAATGCAAGAAGAAAAATGGTTTTGATACCTCTCCAGAACTAGTTTCCTCAGAAAGCATGTTTCTCATTTATGATCAATAGTTCAATCCTATGTATGCCTACTCAAGAAATCAGATTGACTGAATTCCATGTTATTTATGCCCAGGTGAATGTGTATAGGATTCCAGCCAAAGAAATGGGCAATTTTGTGTTCCAGAAAACATGCTCTTCTTGGCAGATAATGCAAGTATGGTGCATGGGTTAATGTTGTAATTATATTTTGTTATTTGTAAAAAAATTAAAAAGAGTCAGTTGTACATCTTCAACATTCTTTTCTACAAATATAAATCATATGTACATCAATAGAATACTGTTAATCCAAAACTGACCCACAAGTTGAAACAGAACATTAACCATAGATACAAATACAATTGTACCTTGATTTCTGGCTATAGTAAAGAGCCTTGTAGCGCAGTGGTTAAACTGCTGTACTGCAGCCAAAACTGCTCATAACCCGGGATTCAATTCCCAGGTCACTGGCTCAAGGTTGACTCAGCCTTCTATTCTTCCAAGGTCAGTAAAATGAGTACCCAGCTTGCTGGGGGGGCAATATGTAGCCTGCATAATTAACTTGTAAACCGCCCAGAGAGTGCTTGAAGTGCTATGGGGTAGGATATAAGCAGCACACTTTGCTTTGCTTTGCTTTATAGTCCACCTTGAAAATAATCATATACTACTACCACCGCTGCTGCTGCTACTACTACTACTACATCGCTGATGATGGTGCTAGTAGTAGTAGTAGAAGAAGAAGAAGAAGAAGAAGAATTGAAAAATAAATTAAATGGTGGAAATATAATTAAAGCCATGAATACACGGGCAATTCCAGTAATTAGATATCCAGCTGGAATGATGAATTGGACCCAAAATAAATTTTAAAAAATAGATAGAAAAACACAGAAGTTAATGAACATGCATCATGCACTGCATCCCAAAAGTGATGTGGACAGGTTATATTTAATGCAGAAAATTGGAGGACATGGATTATTGTATATACAGCAAATGGTAAAGGAAGAAAAAAGAAGGGTAAATAATTATATTAAAAGAAGTAAAGAAAAAATACTTGAAGAAGTGAAAATAGAGAACATCTTGAAATTATCAGAAATGAAAGTTGAATATGAGAAACGATTTGAATATAAATTAAACAGCTGGAAAAATAAACCACTGTATGGACAGTATGTGAGAAATATTTATGGCAAACATGATAATAACAAGTAAAACATGATAAAACATGATAATAACTTGGGCATGGCTAAAACTGAGGACCATCATGAAAGAAACCCAAGGCTTCCTCTTTGCTGCACAAGAACAAGCACTCCAAACTAATGTTATGAAAGCTAAAACTCAAGGAATTAGTGTAAACAGCAAATCTCAACTCTGCCAAGTAAAAGATGAAACTGTGTTGCATTTCATCTTTGAATGTTCAAAGACTGTACAGACAAACTACAAAGCCAGACACAATGGATTTGGAAAATTAATACACTGGTCATTATGTAAAAAATACAATCTGCCAGTATTGAAGAATCGATGGAAGTATCAGTTAGAAAAGGTGTCATATATAGTAATGTCTTCTGGGACTCTTAGCGTCAAACAGGCAGACACTTTCAGCATTACTCATCAGACATAACAGCAATAGAATGAAGAAATATCTGGACAATTGACACTGCAATTCCAGGGAATGCCAAACCTGAAGATAAAGAATTGGAAAAAGTAACAAAATACAGAGACCTGGCACCAAAAATAACTCTCTTGTGGATGAAACACATTTAAGTGGTCTCCATAGTCCTCAACGCATTGGGAACAATGCCACATAATTTTATACAATATTATAATCCACTGTAGATCTCTGAAATAACACCATCAGAGCTGCAAAAATTGCAATATTAGGAACAGCATACATACTACACCAATATTTAACTGATACTTAGATTTTTGGTTAAAACTTGTACCTGTTGTATAATACCAGTCTTGTATTTTTAAGCAACAACAACAATTCTATAGAAGAATTACCATTCTCATTTTGGAAAAATTGACAAGGCCTTCTTCAGTAAAATTGGGTGTTCCTTCTTCAATAAATGCCAGATCTGTCAAGTACATCCCAAGATATGGCACTGAAGGGGGATTACAACTGCATGGCAAGAAACATAAGTTAGCTTTCAATTCTGTGGAACTTTCACTACTTCCTTTGGCATAACCAACTCCTGCATGACTATTTACAATAATGTGCAATACATCTGGATAAGTTGTAATCATACTTCCATGTTCCACATTTCATACATTTCTCTTAAACAGGTAACTTCAAATAATTGCAGAGAAAGAACATGTGTCTTCCTGTACATGGTAAAAGTACACTTTCTGTGTCTATAGAAGCCATCCAAAAATGGTTGTTGTAGGTTTTTCAGGCTGTTTGGCTATGTTCCGAAGGCTTTTCTTCCTAATGCTTTCTTTCCCGGAAGGAAAGAATGAAGAACCGGGCCTTCTCTGTAGTGTCCCCTCGCCTCTGGAACAACTTGCCTGTGGAGATCCACTTGGCTCCCTCTCTGGGTGTTTTCAGGAACAAACTTAAAACCTGACTATTTGGGCAGGCTTTCCCTCCGGCCATAACCACTGCTCTTATCAGTTAACGTCCACTCATGCCAGTTGGCTTGGATGGCAGCAATGTTTTGTAGAGATTTTTCATGAAAACTAACCTATCCCCAAATGACAATTCCATAGAAGCAACTAGAGATGGGGGTTATTTCCTCGTGGAAATAACGAGGGTCTGGCCCCATGGGGCTTGAATGTACACTTACCATTCCGCCATGTACGTGCGCTTGACGGAGCCTTCCTATTGCGCTGCTGTTCACAATGGATTTGTCACTTCTGGCAGGAGGTGGCATGGCACAATGGAGTTGCAAAATTAATACACTGGTCATTATGTAAAAAAATATAATCTGCCAGGTCACAGAGTGGCTAATCCACTGCGGACAATGGCGCAATAGAAAGGCTCTGTTGAGCGCGCATCTGTGGCAGAATGATGAGTGGACAGTCTGGCCCCATGAGGCCAGGCCTTTGTTATTTCCACTTGTGGGGAGGGATATTTGTATACGAATATGAATACCCCCACCTCTAAAAGCAACTCTAAAGCTATCTTGAGCAAATGGATCTCAATAGCACCATGGGGATATTGCAGGGTTTTCCTAGTGTAACATTTTTGAAGAATCAAGTGGCCATATATTTACTGAAAAAAATTCTTGGTTGTAACAGGAAGCAGTGGTCTAGATTTTGTCATTTATGAAATAGGTTTACTAAAACAAAAGGGAAATTGGTCATAATTAACTGAAATTCCACTTATCCCTTTGGAACTACTCTATTATTTAATGGATCCAGCCCGGTACATATACAATAGTACTGCAATATGTCTTGATGTTTCCATAGACATACTCTAAATATGTTATGTGATAATGAGTTTGGTGTGTATTCAACAAAATGTTGGGATTGAACTCTCTAAAGCTGGCATGGAAAACTGAGTTCACAGCAATACAGTACTATTTCTATCAGTGTAGCTTCACAGCTGTCACCACAAAACATAGAAATTTTAAACATACTTCTTGAGTGTTTCTCTGAGATTTTTAAATCTTCCCTCAGATGATACAGTCTTCTGAAGTTTATCCATTAGTGCTTTGGTCTGCAAGAAGAACAAATTATAAGACCAGCATCTCCTAGTGGAATGGATTATAGTTGTACTAATCAGATCTAAAAGTGACACAACCTTGCCTTCAAATAAATTTGTAGCTTTGTAAAAAAATAGTAGCACTAGAGAACCTTTGCTAAACACAGCTCAGCTAAAATAAAATGCATTTTCATTTGGCTGGCAATTTGTTTCAATGGACTCACCATAAACTGGCATGTTTTCATTATCGCTGGCTTTTGGTTTTATTCTGTGGCTATTTTAATTTATCTTAGATTAGTACATGGATTTGTCATGTTCTGTATTATACTATATATTCTACTTTGTTTTATTAAGTATTCAGAAGAATCTTCAAGAACTGAAAATCATTTTTGATAATATCTTATGTTTTTAACCCCAACATTCACAGTAACAGGGTTTACTAATTTTATCCTCACATAATCTCTGTGAGAACTGTTAGTCTGAGACATTACTGTCTGAAACAAGACCTTCTTATGAGCTATGTAGTGAAGGCCAGATCTAGACATTACCAACACCCATGTTTTGCCTGCTAATGCTAATTTACAGTTGAGAGACACATCTCTACAGGATAATCAGATCAGTTGGTGCAGAGTAGAGCATTATGGGGAAAGGTTAATTTTTTCCTGAAAATATGCCACTCCATTCTCTACATTGTCTTCATCAACCATCAACCATTTGTTTTAGCAATGTCTGCTTTTACTCTGAATCAGAGTTTGAACGTTGGTTTCCCCAAAACTAGTCCCACATTTTTTCTATCATAAGCACTACTTAAAAATATAGTGTGAAAAATGACTGTGGGTAAATGGAACTTTAAATAAAGGTTCAGTTAAAATATTTTAATGCCAAACTTCAAGAGAAAAATTTACTCTTATGGGTGATGAGAGACATTACTATGTTCCGCTCCTTCAGCAATTTTGTATATTTTTGCTGCGCTAAACAATTTATATGCTCCTCAACCCAGCAATGAATTTGATCATTCTTTTTTAACCCTATGAAGATGTCACCTTTTTTGGGTGAGCAAATAAAAGTGGATGAGATAGTGATAGAGTCCAGGATCTAAAAGGATTAGGCACCAGGTGATGACAAAGACATCTTCCTAGAAAATACTGAATTAGATGGACAGATAGTCTTGGGGGGTCCATGTAGATAGTTGGTGCAACTTTGTGTGTACCTGTAGCACTACTTCTGTCCATATACACAATACGGATTGGGAGCTAGAGTGTTCCAGAGCTTCAGACAGGGAAAAGGAAATCTATATTTCTTTTCTCCTCAACCATACCTGGATTATGCAGGAAGGAGACAGGGTTTTTAAAAATAAAATAAAATAAAATAAAACAAAACACACACTGTCCTCCTCCTCCAGAACACTTTAGATTTTTGTTCATTGTTTTGATTACTATTTCCCATTATATATATGTTACATTTTCCTGTTCTGAGATTTTATTTGTAAACTGCCTTTGAATGGTTATTTGCACTGAAAGATGAAAGGACAAAAGAAAAAAGTAAGTAAAAATATAAAGCAAACAATTAGGTTGCTTAGCTGGCTAAGTCTTGCCATCACCAGCTGCAGCTTCCTTTCTTTTCCTTTCCGATAATGTCTTAATGTTTCATAGTCTCTGGAAGTTACACGTTCTCATCAGAGTGTACCTGAGGTTTTTAAAAACTATTATTTTTCTTTTAACTTATGGACAGGCACATTTTTGGATATTTATGGTTTGGGAGTTCTGGGTAGATCTATTTTGCTTCACAATTTCAAAATGTCTCAGCTGATAGTTGTGTATCTGCATCACCCAAGATCTTATTATCTGCCCTTTCATCCTAACTCAATTCTTTGGCAGGGACTTGATAAGAGTGCTTGAGGATACAAATTGATTTGCTGTTGCTTTTCCTGACTGAAAACTTTGTTTAGCAATTGTTGGTACTTGGCTGGCAATCAGGGCTCTAAAGTAGGGAACCAATATATTTTTAATGAGAAGGAAATTTTTATCTTCTCTTGAATATGCTCTGTTTTGCCTCATGATAAAACTGGTTTGGTTTTTGTAGATTCAAGTGCTGCTTTTCTGGTGGAACAGTTACATCATCTGGAATAATAGTAATTTGTAAAATTACTAGTTCATTTAAAACACTTATTGGAAGAATACAGCTTACACATTTAGATAAGACATTCTATGAAATGTGTCAACAAATGTGGAATCATTACCTGTTTAGAAACCTTAGCCCAAGTTTTCTTCAGTCTGTAGATTGCACTTCTGTTCAAGGCTGATGTGATTTCAAGCACACCATTGTAGTTGTGCATACATCGACAAATGTCTGCCACTGCTACCCATTTCTCAATTGCATTCGCTCGTGAGCCAGCATCAGCGTAATTCATAATTTGGGATGCAACAAGGTTGCTCATCTAGATCAAAGAAGTACTTCTCAAAATATTTGCACTTACAGTTTAAGTATTAAACAATAGAAATGATATGAAAAATGATTACCTTTTAGCAAGCAAGGGCAAGAAAACATACAGCATGAATATGTTTAAATGCAACAGGTGAATAACAGATGAATTAAAGAATATATGTCAAACGCAGAGCAATATTCATTGAAGAATACATTGCTGACACTTGCAGTGTTGTTATTGGTAATGGCTCCTTGTTGCATGCTAAAGGCAAGACTAAGAAGGCTGAATTATAAGTAAGAAATATTAAACTAAATGTATAAATAAATCTGCATTATTTTAATCTGCCTTTATTAGACTGTGCCACTACTTGGCTTAAAAATGTCCAGTAACAGTGGTTCATACATTGGCAAACACAAAAAAAGATTAATGTAAGGCTCTGTCCATGGGCTGACCTTGAAAACAGTACGGAAACTTTAGCAGCTCCAAAATGCAATGTGCAGACTGATTTCTGGGGCTAAATTCACATAATTTATTCAATCATCTATCCCAAGTTTTCGTGTGTCTTCTTTGGCTCCGTGCTCCCTGGTTTCCATGTTCAATTCAAGGTGCTAGCTAGTTATGACCTATAAAGCCCTTAATGGTTTAGGACTTTGATACTTGTCAGAATGTCTCTCTCAGAAATCAGCTACCTGTTTCATCTGCTCTTCTCAGTCCATGTTGCCAAAGTGGCCACACCAAGGGAAGCCAAAAAGGTGATAACAAGGAATTGATGATAGCCCCCAGTCTTTGGAATATGTTACTGTGGTGTCTGCCCAGGTCATGAATATTAATGTGATATCTGCATGGACCAATGGGAGTGCTGGAGGGGCGCAGTCATGAGATATAAGAGACTCAGCAGGAGGAGGGGAAGTTAGTTGAAGTTTAGGAGCTTGGGGTGGTTTTGAAGATTGGGTGGGAGAGTGGTGGTTGAGAGTGGATAAAGGAGGATGTTTATTTAAGAGTTAACATTGCTTGAACTATCATCATCTGTAACAATAAACAATTTCTGTTTGGTTCTTTTAAAAATGACACATTGCCTGGACTTCTATTACTAATAATAAACAATGTTGAGGTAACCAGCTGGTGGCAGCTGAAAGACACATAGCATGAGTTCTTAGTTTGGTGAAACAAGCAGGGGCCACATGGGATTGTGTCAGTTACCAACTGAGATATACCAATCTCCTTTCCTCCTTACAATCAGGAAATTGGTGAAATGAGAATTATTCAAAACTGCCTTCAACAACTGATTCTCCCAGATGCTGATAATCCCCCCCCTTTTTGTACAAATTTTAGACCTATACTTTTGAATCACAATATTACTGAATGAATTGTATGTGGAGTTTTGTGGGAGTTTAGCTTTTGACCTGTAAAATACCCAGAGTAGTGCTTGCACTAATGGGACAGTATATACAGTAAATCAAATAAATAAATTATTAAATCCTGATGTAACTTCTTTTATTTTACCATGTTTACAGATTTCCAGCAAACTACCACTCCTGTTGGTGAGCCATTCAGAAAAACGGAACAAACTGGTGTTCTTTATGATAAGTCATAATTATTCCAGAAAGAATTTGGTTTTTATCATAACTTACATCATTAAAGTGTTGGCTAGTTTTCATGATATAAGGTGTTCTTTCATTTTTATCTAGTTTCATCCAACCCTGCCCAAGAAACTCTCTGAAAAATGAGAAAGAAGATAACATGAAAATAAATAATCAGAAAACACAGAGTAACATTATTTGTTTGTTTCTGTTTCATTTATTTAGAGACATCCTCCTGGCTCAGAAGAAGGGTCCTAATCCCCATGCTAGGTGGCCTCCTCTGCTGGAGAGAATTGAGTTAGCCAGTTTGATGAAATTAGCAAGCAGTCATGTCCTGGCTCTAAGAAATGAATTAACTGGTTTAATGCCCCAAAGTCTTTTCCTACAACTTTATAAATCTGTGTCCAAGTTTTCTTGCTGCCTAGAGTGGTCTATCATTAACTTAACTGGTTTAATGCCCCAAAGTCTTTTCCTATAACTTTATAAATCCATGTCCAAGTTTTCTTTGGTAGACCTTTTAGAGACAAATTTTAAAGCAAGGAGATGCAGAATATATCTTGCAAGTCTTGTCCTTACAGAGTCATACTGAAATCAATTATACAGTAGCATCTTTAATTTTGTAAAAAAGGTTTTATGTGTGAGAACTCTGGTTTAATGCCCCAAAGTCTTTTCCTATAACTTTATAAATCCATGTCCAAGTTTTCTTTGGTAGACCTTTTAGAGACAAATTTTAAAGCAAGGAGATGCAGAATATATCTTGCAAGTCTTGTCCTTACAGAGTCATACTGAAATCAATTATACAGTAGCATCTTTAATTTTGTAAAAAAGGTTTTATGTGTGAGAACTGTAGAAAATTTTATATCTTCTCTGCATCTAGCAGTGGTGGTTTTTCTACAGACTTTCTGAACTGACAACAAGAAAAGAACATAAATATCAAGTGCTCTTTGGAATAAATTCTTTGGTAGACCTTTTAGAAACAAATTTTAAAGCAAGGAAATGCAGAATATATCTTGCAAGTCTTGCCCTTACAGATAAATATCAAGTGCTCTTTGAAATTCTAATGTAAAATAATAGGTTTGCCTCTTTAGGAAAAGATCTGCATTCTGCTCACAATGTGGTGCAACAGAAAACCTCTCCTAGTGTTCCACATGCTGATCTTTGGTAGACCTTTTAGAAACAAATTTTAAAGCAAGGAAATGCAGAATATATCTTGCAAGTCTTGCCCTTACAGATAAATATCAAGTGCTCTTTGAAATTCTAATGTAAAATAATAGGTTTGCCTCTTTAGGAAAAGATCTGCATTCTGCTCACAATGTGGTGCAACAGAAAACCTCTCCTAGTGTTCCACATGCTGATATTAACCTTTCTCATTCCATTTATGCTTTCATTTATGTTTTCCAATAAGTACCACTAAATATATTTTTCTTTGTTATTCACTGTCATTCTTTTAATATGCCTACCACCTATTTGAATCAGTCTTATCATTTCAAAACTTCATTTGCAAAATATTTTTGGTTTGAGAATATTTATAGGAAACTCACTTACTCATAGGGTATGCTTCTGAAAACAATATGATCCAAGAGAGTTATTTGTTCAGCAAGCTCCATGGCGGATAATGTTTCAAAGCACTCTGGTTTTGGACACTCCAACTGTAAGTAAAGAATTACAGAGTATATTTAAAAGGCCATATAAATACTTCTAGATTATTTCACAGCACATTACATTACTGGCTGTTGTACCAATTTTATTGCCCAATTTCTATTGTTTCCAGAAGGAAAGTGAGAGGAAATAAGATAAAATAACAGGGAATAACTCTGGATAAACAGGCATAATTTAGGCATAGATAAACAGAGGAACATTGGCATGGTAGAGAAAAGTCACTTAAAGACACTGATGCATTATGCAGCAGATGTTTTTAGTACCTGTGCTCCTACATAGGGGCAGAATGAGGAAAAGTAGGAAGATAAGGTATCTTATGTTAATTCAGACCATTACTCTATATAGCCCAGTATTCCAACACTGACTACTGGTAGCTTTCCAGGGAATTAAGTAGAATCGTTTATTAATGCAGGGACTGAGCCTCCAACCTTCTTCACGCAAAGCATTTGTTCTGCCATTGAGATAGACCCCATCCCCAAAAGGATTCAGAAGAGTTTAAATCAGTAATTGATCTGCCCTGGCTTTTCAACATTAATAAAGCTGGGATTTTGCCCTTTGATTGACAAGGACTATGATTACAAAGCTATATGCTCTCTGAGGGAGTTTGCCTCACTTGGTGCTTTCCCCATTTAAATAACTTCTGTGTGGTTTAAGACAGCACATTCACCTCCCCCAACATGCTTTTATTTATGCTCTCACTTGCAAACTGATACTATAATTTCCAATAATTTCCATAATAAGATACCTGAAGTGACCACAAAAGGCCCATTCACAGAGATGCCCCAGTATAACTTGCCTCCACTGTGTAAATTCAAAAGAGAGACCCACATTTTGCATAACTTTGTACCAAGTCAATGGTGATGTATACAGCAATCCTTTCACCTATTTCCAACATTTCTGATGAGGAATTTGAACACAAAATGAGCAAGTATGAATACAAGAGGGACAGTAATTTGCTATCAGGGTTGCAATAATCAGACAGTCAAGCACCAGTGTTAGTGATTTATACAATTTTATGTAAATATAAACAGATCTGACAAATGTTTGTTTGGATAAACTCACCATCTGCAGTATGTCCTCTATTTTAAAATGGGTGTCGTCTTGGTCCTCCTGAGAGAGAGCTCTAAAACAATTCACAAAATATTCATATGAACTTCTCTGGAGACAACAGTGTTTAGAGAAACAGCATTGTTCGTAGGACCTCTCAGACAAGATTATGTCAAATTTGAGCATTGATGCTCAATCAACAGCACATTTCTATAGACGTACGTATATTCAGTGTATAGGTAAGCCTAACCGGCTGGGATCCTGCCGGGTTGTTCCACTGGAAGAACAACAGTTTCCAGCCCACCACAAACTTGACTACACTCTTGAATCTTGCTGTAGAAGACTCAAATACCCTTTGAAGCATACATTTAGGCAACAGTGAGTTAAGGGGGTGAAGGGAAGAAATTCCTCTTGTGATTTTGCATGTCCACTATTGTGACACTTGATTAACTTTCCAGTAAGTGACTACAGAATTACATTTTATGAAGTGGTTGTTTATCACTTATATATAAGATGAAAGCAAAAAAAAAGGTAATTCCACACCTATAGCACTGAAAGGTTAAAAGTAGTTATGTGTCCCCTTAGAGAGGCTTAGGGGAAAACAAGTCTTCACTTCCACCTATATCATTAATTAATTTGGTGACATTAAGATAAACAGAAGGCTAGATGATGTACTCTTGTATTTTGTTAAGAAACATTAGGAGAAAAACATTTTTGTTTAAAAAAGTAACCACCCACAAATTGTAATTGTGATTTGCTTTTTTGTGAATCCTTGGGAGAAAAAAAAAACCCTGGCTAAAACAGCTGCTACTTGGTTGTTTGTTATAATGAATTTATAACCAAACTACTATAATTTATTTACCTCAAGATGTTTGCAGTAGCTTTTCTTTCTTGTGGCAAAAGATCGGGGTCTCTTAAAACTTCTTCTAGAAGATTCAGAACATTCATTTTGAGTTCATTGTTCAGCTCAAAATCCTATAAAATAAAATATTCCTAGATGAAGGACATTGTATATTTCCATTTGTGGGGGTTTGCCCCTGCTTTTGTGTTTTACTATTTTACCATGCTACAGAGCTTCTAGAGCTTTTTCTGTGATGGTAAGAAAACTGAGAATTCAACACTTACTTTAGGAATATACATCAAATTCCCTGTTAATCATTTCTGAGTCTGTTTTAGAATTAAATCTTATTTTACTGCAGCATCACACTATCATAGCTCAATCCCATACCATTTCAGTCACATCAGAACAGTCAGCTCACATGAGATAATGCAATTACTCCTCAAATGAACCCTTCACCCTTCACATTGATCTGTTGTTCTAAAGTTGTCAGTATATTGTGGGGGAAATCAACAGGCAAATGACAGCTCCAGTATTTCTGTAACTTATGATTGCCACTTAGTTTCATCACTTATAAAAGAGGCATCCTTGTAAAATGCTTTGCAGTGTATACATGAAGAAGCACTACTTATCTGATTATACTTGCATTTATCCCCAGTGTTTCTAGTCCAGTGATGAAATCTGTCAGATACCTGTTATCACAGTGCTAGCAACTTTCATTAACAAAAAAAAACACTTTTAGCTGTTCTGTAATACAGTTGATCTTTAAAAGGATAAAGAAATATATTTTGTTTAAGAAATATTTCTGTATTTATGCACTGTAATCTTCAGCATTATTTCACACCTTACATCCACAAAACTGATAACTATTCACTCTGTCAGGAACCCACAGCCAGTCCAGCACATGTATAATAAATGATTGGAGTACAGACACTTAAACATTTTAAATATGTTTCAAGAATAGCCAGCAGTCTGTTGATATAGTAGAGAGAGCATCCCCCTGCTCAGACCACAAGCTCCCCTGTATTTTAAACCTACACATTAAAATGTATGTGTGAAGGAGAAGTTTTGGTAAAAGACCACTGATTCTAATAGCATGTGTTTCCTAACAAGGTCCAGTTCACTAAAATTGTTTTTTAAAAAAACTATTGAAGTCAACACAGATAAACATCCATTGATTTTGGAATGCTAACCTTGCTTTGCAAAATGTTCAGTTTAAATATAGAATAGTAACATATTACTTTGGTCACCTAACTATTCAAATACATTTCAGGGTAGTGCAGGCATGCATTCTGGCACTAAACTTACAGCCATTGCCTGAACAACTGTTGTATCCAAGACATTCATCTAAGCTCCAGATGATACAGGGTAGTAGCGGCAGCCTCAACACTGTTGCTCTTGAGTCTCTGTCTCTGGCATTCCTGTCTCTTGGAGGACAGAGCTATAAGTATTATGCAACCTCCTGCATGCCTACCACCACCGATGTACATACTTGCTGTCTCAAGTACGGAGGATCATACCTCACTGCAAATGTTGGGTTAAGACTTGACTAACAGTCCAATGACCTTATGCAGAATGGAAGGGTTTCCATCTTGTCCTTTGCCAGAGACAAGAAGATGTCTTTAGCTAGCTCTGGTACCCAAGGAGTTTTGCTTATGCTTAAAATCCACGTATGCCATCTCTGTTTCAAATGTAGATGAGGCAGTATACATTGATTCTGATATGAAATTAGAAGTTTTCTCTTGCCCCTGTCCAGGAGAATTCAGAATATTTTCAAAGAATAAAGAATGAGTTGGTGTGGCAATCAAGCAAGTCCATGTTTAAAAATATCATCTGAGGATGTTCTTGCTTGAAATGAACTAATTCTAGTCATTTGCTTTTGAGCTTAGCGCAGATGTTTGGATAAAGGATTTAAACTAAAAGCTTCATCTATCCAGTATATTTGTAGCAATTCTTTTTACAGTGATTGTTTGCTGCCGTATGCACTGTAATTCATCATCGGTTTCCATAGAGACAGAAACAATAGTCACTTGCAAAGTTCTTGAAAATCCTGTATATTTTACTTTCAGTGCATGCTTAGGAGATGCACGTGCTGGTATTCATACATATTTTTGAACAGTTTAATTTTAATTTTTAGTGGCTTCTACTGGGGGTTACAAAAAGTGTTTCATTTGAATTATCCTCCAAACAAAGCTTGCGATGAATGCCTTTCTAGATACCAACCAAGCCTTTCCCATTACCAATATGTCTAAGACAATGATTCCCAACCTTGGATCCCCAGATGTTCTTTGACTAAAACTCACAGAAGCCTTCACCACTTTCTGTGTTAGCCAAGATTTCTGAGAACTGTAGTTCATAAACATCTGGGGACCAATTTATTATGTTAAATACTCCAAATGTTCTAAAATAAAATATGTTGCAGTTGCTGTTGACAGTATTATTATTGTATTGTTAAACCCTCACAATATCTGTGTTTTGCAATTACAAAGTATTGTGGGAATTTTATTTATGTTTGGTTTTTAGCAGAATTTATAAAAATTTCCAAAATTTGAACATGGGAAAAAGTGAAATTGGCAGATTAGCCCACCTCTAACAAAAGCTAATAATAGTTGCAATAACTTGAATAATACCTGGCTTCTCTTAGATCAGTGGTTCTTAACCTTGGGTTACTCAGGTGTTTTTGGACCGCAACTCCCAGAAGCCTTCACCACCAGCTGTGCTGGCCGGGGTTTCTGGGAGTTGCAGTTCAAAAACACATGAGTAACCCAAGGTTAAGAACCACTGTCTTAGATGATAGTGTATTTCTTACACTGGGGTTGGACAACACCCACACTTGTTGAAACATGCATGAGAGGATTATGGCACGATGTTAGCTATGCCTGCCCTCAACCAGGTCCTCTGCCAAATGCATATACATGATGAGAAACAACACTGCCTTGTTTCATATGTTCTCACTGGTACACTTCAATCAACTTCTAGAAAAAAGACATACTCGACCTTACTCTCAAGCACTTTTCACTACCTCAATAAAATCTTTTGTAAAGGTTTTGTGGAAGACAAACAGGTGTAGGGACTTAGGAACCTGTATTTGCAACTACAGTGAAGAATAAGGGATGTACCCTTCTTAAATTCAGAATGGATTATTAATATATTATAGAATGTGCCATTTCCAGCCCACAGCCTTCAGCTCCTTTCCCACTACATCTTTGGATTTAAAGAAACTTCCCTGTCTGGCCCCACCTTGTACATTTTACTGAACCTTACCTGTGCACCTCAGGAAGTGAATTGTAGTGCTCCAAACACTGTTTTTATCTACCGGTAATTTGCCAATATTAACATAGAGGAGATGGAGTACCTAGTGTGGGCCTGATGTTATCTAAAATTCACAGAAATAATGGAGCAAAGCATGAAAATGGTTACTGTAGAAGTGATGTGCCATCATGGTTGGAGAGAGAAAATGCTATTGCTGGGCAGCCGTGCAGGGTCCATAACCTCAAGAGCGTCCATCTTTACCAATCTAGCACCTATGGCCTACGATAGTCCTCCTACAGCTAGCTTCATCTCTTGGATTATTGGCCAGATGTTTACTATTACACACATGAACCTCCTTTCTTGGCATGACTGCAAAGAAAATGGAAGCATTTGCTCAGATTTTCATCTAACCACTCCTTTTCATTATGTTCAAAACAGAAACTAGAGTTAGCTTTGGTTTTGTTTGAAAGTCATTAGCATAAATCCTGGTTTAAAGCAGGCTTACAGAGATAAACCAAAGATAAAATTCTTATCACTACCACTAACAGTAGTACTACCCAAAACCATAGTTAAAATTACTGTTAGTAATACTTCTGCAGTGACCATTATTGTGAATTGTATATTACTTCCCATATTTAACATTTCTAATATTTTAACAATAAAATATTAAAAATATTTTATTTTAAACTAAAAAAACATAGTTAATTGATAATGAAAGCAAATATTCTCACTCTCCTTTCTAAATGCACCAGTAAAGGAGAGGAAAGAGGAATGCATGAGTGCAAGGTTAGTCCACGTATCACTAAACCAACATTTAGTGTTGTATGCATTTCAAAAGTTCACCACTGAAATTCAGGTCTGTTATTTTGACTATACAAAACACACATATAAAAATACGTCAGCTCACTCAAGGAGACAAATTCAGCAAAAGTCCATCCTTTGTCTATTTGTCTCTTCAGTTACACTGATAATTAAATAATAAATGAAGAATAGTAAAAATATATTTTACTGTGCATTTGTGGCAAGCTCTATTTTACTCACATGAAAACACAGATATTTGATTTTTATGTAGCATTTGCTGATCTGTGCCTAAACCATATAAATATCTGACATGTGGAGCAATGAATTGTTAGCAGTTTTTCAGACCTAACAAGCAAATGGTGTTGTTATGCAGCCACATTTTTTTCATTTACTTTACAGTATACAGTAGTTGTATCTCTTCTTTATTCAACTGCTTCAATATTTATTGACACAAATTTCTTCCTATTCTCTCTTCCTCTCTCTTTTTATACTTTCCTTTTTATCTCCTTTTGTGATACTCAGATTCCACAATTTTATGTACTGTCTGAAAAGCGAGCATTTGAAACCAATGCTCCTTGTTTGCTTTACCTAGCTGACATGTAAAATAATCTGAATAGATATTTGCTCACATTTGGTTCATATAAAATCTTACATAACATAGGAAAAGCAACACTGTATTACTATTATTTTAACAAACAACACCAACAAAAAAGGAACATATCATACGGTTTATGACACTGAACCAGCAATCTATGCATGAACACTAGATATTAAGCCAACACAGTATTCCTGTTGTACTGGTGCACTTTTCATCAATTGCAAAGCCTTCTGGGATAAAGAAGACTTCTCACTGAAGAACATTCTGTTGTTGTTACTTGCAGTTATGTTACTTATGCTGACCCATATAGGATTTTGGAGGTATTTGGGATTATAAAATCTGTCAAATGACATGAAATCTATGTTATTACAGTGGAATGTTCAAGAAGTAGCTTACCTCCGCTACCCCCAATGAATCTCCACAGGAAAGCAGGGATCTGACTCCTAGTCAGGTACTCTATCCACTACACCGTACTGGCTCTCAATC